ACGACGGCGACGACAGACGCAGATGATGGCTGTATGTACAGACACATCTGTGTCTGTACATAAAAACAGCATAAATTCCCTAAAAGTGACCCGATCATGCTGATTTTCGAACTTGGCCTGCGTATTATGAATATTCATCAGTTCTGCAAGTTTCAAGTCAAAAGGTAAAATGGTTTTTCACTTATCGTGTTATCGGTAAAAGTGCACGGCGACAGCGACGACGGCAACGACGGCGACGACAGACGCAGATGATGGCTGTATGTACAGACACATCTGTGTCTGTACATAAAAACAGCATAAATTCCCTAAAAGTGACCCGATCATGCTGATTTTCGAACTTGGCCTGCGTATTATGAATATTCATCAGTTCTGCAAGTTTCAAGTCAAAAGGTAAAATGGTTTTCCACTTATCGAGTTATCGGTAAAAGTGCACGGCGACGGCGACAGCGACGACAGACGCAGATGATGGCTATATGTACAGACACATCTGTGTCTGTACATAAAAATTAGTTTTATGTACCAATTACTTAAGACAAGCTATGGTATCATTAAAATACTTCAGGGTCATTTTGCACTTACAACTGAATCTTCTAAGATACTATTTGCCACTTTCTCTGGACAGAACAACCCTGCAACTTCTGATATCAACCTTGTTTCTTCTGGCTATGAAAAAAGAAGAGAATCTCAGAGATACAGGTAAGGTACTGTATATAAATCTTAATGCACAGTACATACATAAATCTATTCTTTCACACATTATTCTGTACTGCAGTTTTTTGTCTCTTTATCAGCCAATTTCATCTACAAAGACTGGCTGAAAGGCAAGAGGTAAAAACCAAAAGATTTTAGTGTTAAGTAGGTGAACTACTGGTGTCTAAATAAACCAGCATTTACAACTTTCATCAAGCAGATGGGAGCAGAAAATCCTGAATAAAGAAAATAATTCTCTCCTCAAATGATTCTTTAATTTTAATTAAAATGATTTTATCTGAAATATTCTTCGGGTATTTTGATAAATTCTAATTCTAATTCTAAAACAATTTTAAGTATTTAGTCATAACTGTCAAGGGTGTTTACCTTAGTTTTGTTTTCCTCAGCATAGCCAGGTGTGTCTGTATCTGGAGGGAAGGCCAGGGTTATGTAAATGTTGTATGGTTTGACCTGGAAAACAAATAATTTCAGATCAATATCCTTTCAATGGTGACAATGCACTGAGATAGCTGAATATCATTACAAAAAGCTATCTCTGGGAAGTGGACATCTACATCTGAAAACATGGGAAATTTGTGTATAATCAAAAACAGTACGAAAACCATTCAATTCACGTACTTGCATCACTTCTGATGTATCCATACTGGAAAAAAAATGAAACTAACATTGCACAAATTGAATGCCATTTCACATGGATGAGACCAGTCCTCACTGAAAAAGGAGGAAAATTGGCTGGGGGTCAAGGGTACACGATTCACAAGAACGACCCAAATGACCCTGAAAAATTCGGAATTCTGACAAAAGTCGGAAAAGTCTCATCAGTGATTTCATATAACAGAGTAAGTTTATGTGCCTTGGTGTCTGCATGCATTGAATAGAGGGCACACAATTGGCATTAGACCTGTACACAGCAGAAGTTTCATTTCCCTGGAAATTTCAACACTTCTTCCTTAATCATCAAGGTTCTCTGTTGTCCAAAACCATTCACAATATTACAAGCCATAGACCCTTTTTTAGTTCTAAGTCTAGTCACAGGGTCAGTCTTAAGAGATTGGTGACTTTCACTCTGGATGGTCAAAGTTTTGACATTAAGAACCCAGCATTGTTTCATAGGAATATTCATAGATCAAATTTTCTCAACAGTTTTAGATAGGGTACACCAGGTTGGTGATAAAGATAACATTTCTGAAATTTTCACGAAGTTTACATTTTTATCTGAGCATAAATATGGAGTAATAGATGTAAGTAAACCCAAAAATGCAATGATGTCGCAGATCTTCAACTGAAACCTATAACCTTATATTACGATTATTATGAAAAATCCCTGAAAAAAGATGATCTGTAGGATGATCTGGGTTCATTTTAGTAAGTATGTTTCATAATTTAAAAAAATAAAAAATAAAAAATAAAATTAATGAATTTTAACTTTATTCAAAAACACATACACTCTAAAAATATAGAATAAATTGAGCGTTTAAAATTAGAGAATGATTACCTTACCTCCATTTGCAGAGCTTCTGCAAGCCCCCTGAGTGCAAACTTAGAGGCAGAGTAAGATGTATATCCATACAGCCCAAGCTGCCCAGCCATGGAAGACACGTAGACTATACGCCCATTTTGCCTCTCTTTCATATTCTTTATCACAGCACGAGTGGCATAGACACTGCCATGGTAATTCAGGTCCATGGTTTTCTGCAATGCAAGGAAAAAATGTACTAAGGTGAAGGTAGAGCAAAGGCCTTGTTTTCATTTTCTTATTTATTCATCTATTTACTTTGGCATTTTAGTCTAATCCATTACTGAATTAGTAACTGAAGCAGTAAATGAATTAGTTCCAGAAATCTACTGACTAGGTTAGGTTAGGTTATTTGATTAAAAGTAGGTTAGCCTGGACAAGAACCATTTGAATGTTGCAAAATAGTAAACATCTTCCAAACAACTAAATTAATTAATTAATTAATTAATTAATTGAGATAGAATAGAATAAAACTTATAAATTAAAAAAAAATGGTATAACAAAACAAGATAAAACAAAGTAATTTTTCCACCCCTGTACTCTACGTCACACTAAAACTGTTCCCATATACTATTTCATATCCAAATTTTAAAATAAATAAATAAATGCAATACCTTATTCCTATGCCCCTTCAAAATATCTTGATTATGATAATATTTGTGTTTTCCTCTGAAACTGAGGGTGTTGGAATTTAAATTGTTCTATAAAGAGACTGTGAAACAAAGGGTACTCACTCTAAACTCCTCTAATGGAATCTCATCAAACCTGCCACTCATCCCAGCCCCAGCACTGTTGATCAGCATGGACACTGGACCTAGGTGAGCCTCTGCCTGGAGAGAAAATAGAACTTTCACTTATACCAGTATGTAACAGGATAGCTTGGCTGGGAATCTCAGTCTGTTGGTTCCGATATACATACTGTACCTTTTTGAAAGTCTTCATACTATAACTCATTTCATTTGTTAATATGTTATTTTAATTTGGTCACCATCGTAGTTCTTGTGACATTCATGTCACAAGCATATTTTTGATGGCTCCTTTATATTTCGTACTTGTATCAGTACTAAGTTACTACATTCATTTACCAGGTAACTATTTATTTAATATCATACTTTATGCTGGTATACTCACTCTCATTATATATATACAAAGTTCTCATATTCAATATTAACAATGTATTTTGAATTCAACCATTTAATATGTAAACAATCATACATATACATGTAGTGGTACATTGATTAAATTGATACAAGCACATATATAAAAGAATACCTTTCTTATCACTTGTTCTACTTCTCCATAGTTCTGAGATATGTCTGCTGAAAAGCACTGGATTCTCTAGAATATAAACAAAATCAAAACAACATTATGATGGTCATTTGAAATCATCTAGAAACACTTTTCAAAATGGTTTTTAAAATTTTAAATTGATCAGTTCTGTACATACAAGCTCAGTTAACTGTAACTGGAGAAAGCTATTTTATATAGAACTGGATCTTATAGTGAATCTCAATGATAAAGCACTGGGAGAAAATCCTTTTCTCTAAAGCTAAAAGTCTGAGTAAGAAGTTGATACAGTAATGCAATCTGTGACACTAGCACTTGCCCCAAGACAAATACGAGTAAAATTGTACCTGGGTCATTAAAACTTTGCACAGGCAGGCAGTGCTCTAAGTGATGGCAGAATTTGAAAAAACCCACACTTAACCATGGGTTAAGGACTGTTGAATTCTTCCAGAATGTAATGCGAGTGTCAAGAAAAAAGTGTTGTTGGAGAAAAATACCATTTACTCTAAGAAAATCCATTAAGTATGAGTTTATTATCACATGAAAATCTTCCACTGTGCACCTTTAAGAGCTGAGAGCAATATGGCAGACATTTTACCTGAGTACTACTGCCATTACAGCATTTTTCTACCTCTTCACGAGCTTGTGTAAGTCTTACCTAAAAAAGTAAAGAGTTTATTGATTACAAATCACAAGCAAAGCATTAAATCAGAAAATTCTAAACACCTCTATATTTTTCAACATAACTGATACATAATATTCACTTTACAGTGAAAGTGCAAATTGAACTCAGAATGCTTGATGAGACTATGAAGAAATGTGTGTGCACATGCCCATGTGTGTGAGAATGTGAATGAATCAATGTGTACAAGTATTTGCATGTGTGTGTGAGAGTACCACTTACATGTATACATGTTCTGTATGTGGTACATTGCCATATGCAATCTATGTACAGTAGGTACAAATTTATTCCGCAGTAATTTCCCTTCCACATTGCATTTTACTGGCCATAAATTTTTTTCATTTTCTCAGCAACTGCCATTCTTACAAATAATATTCATTGAGGATAAGGTGAGGTTTAAATACCTTTGTTGTTGTTTTCTTGATTGAGATACAAAAACATGAAAACTTTATAGGAAAAAGGTGTACTGGGGATTGAGGGGGGGGGGGGGGGGT